TGAGTTCAAATTCCTTGACTGGGAGGCCAGGCGAGAGAAAGCCTGCATTTTCTGTTCTTTTTCATCAAAGCCTCCCCTCCGCTTTAACCGCGCCTCACACAGGCAACAGCTGGGCCCCCGAGATGTGCAGGTCATCCTCAAAATCCTTTTACATAGAGTTTAGTGCTTTCTCTGATAATGCAAAGGACATCTGTCCACTAGGGAAACATGGCAGACACAGAAAGGAATAAAGACAAACATAACCCCCCTCTTGCCTCCTAGAGACGATCACCATTAGCATCTGTGGGGATCTAGATATGTGTAATTTTACATAGCCGAGATTGTTGGGAAGTTTTGAACACCACAGGTCTTAGAACCCGAAGGCCTGGGTTTAAATCTCAGCTTGGGCACTCACTAGCTGTGCAACCATGGGCAAGTTACTTAACCTCTCCGTGCTGCACTTTCCTCATCTTTAAAAGGAGGTGATACTGTTACCGACCTCATGGTACTTTTCTGAGAATTAAATAAGTTAACTTGTATAAAGGGCTTAGAGCTGTGCTGGCTCATCAGAAGCCCTTGGTTATCTCCATCTGACTATTATTGCTACTCACTGTTGTTCTCCTAGGCGGCACCTTTCTTTCTTTGTCCCACTGAACATTACAAGCTATTGTGTGCCAGAGTCCAGCTCCAGCTGGAAGGGTTTCCTGAGGGATGAATGGCGTCGACGAAGAAAGAAGTTAGGGTGAGACTGGAAGCGAGGTTTCCAAGTCTGATTTATTCAAAGCATTCAAGCACTTATATAGGGTCCAGGTCACGTGTTTATGATTTCATGGAATTGTCTCAGTACATAATTTTGGCAAACAAAATGGGTACATAGGCATATCTTGTTACAATGTTAGCACAGTATGTCTGTGAGAAGTAAGCAACCTTTGTTAATTATAGATATTGACCTTTTCTGTATGTCTACTAGGCGTCTAGATGTTTAAGAATGATTGCAAAACGGGGTGTAACGTCTAGATTTAGTTCCTCATGGGTCGAATGGCCCTAAGCCTCTATCTTTTATTCCTGTAATAATGAAAGCTGAAGTATTGCAAAGTGCAAGGGGACCAAATACGCACAGGCCCTCAGCTCCGTCTGATCGAAAGCCACACAGGCACAGTGCTTGGGGTTTCTCTTTTACCATTAACTATTTTATAGGGTTCCCAATCCTCATCATAATCCCAATTCCTCTGTGTCAATATATTATGATATTTCTTTGCAACTTTGTCAAGATCATGAGTTGCCTTAGGAAGGGGTAGTTTTTGCATGCCTCTGCTTCTGGGTGGGTGCCACCATTTACCTTCTGTCCTAACAGGCCTAGGATAATCTCTACCTCCTAGAAGGACCCGAGGAGGGAGTGTTCTCTTTTGAGGCTGATTATTAGAAGGCTTCCTGCTCGAGGGCTGTCCAAATTCCCTTACCGCCTTTCCAGGGGGGGGTCAGAACGTTTTTTCCCTGCAGGCTGCTGTTCCCTGAACCTTCCCTAGAAGGCCAGGTTGCATCAGCTTCTTTACCCTGCGTGGAGAGCTTTTCCCCGAGATACCTCCATGCACAGAAAAAGAACAGCGAGAGCAATATTGCTAAGATTAGCAGCATGAGTAGGACCAGGAGCGGCCGACCGCCAGCTTCTGAGGGTCTGCCGTGCGTTCCCTCCTCTCTCTCCTGGACCGCACCGTTGCCCTTGGGTAGAGGCTTAGAGGACTGGTGGGTGGCTCCCGGCAATTGTGTAGGTTGAGCTGACGAGGATTATAAAACCCAAGATCACCAGCGTTACCAGGGAGTTGCTGAACTTGACTACTCACTTTTCAGAAGTTTAAAGATGAATTCTTGCAAGAAACACAAGTCGAGTGAAGCGAAACTCTTCCCTGGACCCAGGCCTCCGAGTGGAAGCGGGTCAGGACCCTCGGCCACCTCCTCCAAGCCCCCTTTGCTCAAATTCTGACCTCGCTCCTCCTCCAGAGGCTGCAGGCGCTTCAAGCACTCGGCAAAATCCTTCTCCAATTCTCCTACAAAGCAAAGAAACCCTAGCGATGCTCAGCCCCAAGGGCATGGAATGCGCAGCTCCTCGGGGCCTGGCCCTCTGTCCAGATGCGGGCAAGCCTGTCCCTGTGCCGGGTCCCCGGTCCTGCGCTAGGCCCCCAGTCCCTGCACCGGGTCCCCAGTCCAGGGGGCAGACAGATATACAAGCAGACCACACTGGGACTGATGCCGGATGGCAGGCAGCAGGGGAGGCCTCCTGGAGGAGGGGGCCATGACAAGATGGGTGTGTTTTTTCCTAATGGCTTTATTGAGATCGAATTCACATACCATACAATTTGCCCATTTAAAGTGTCCAATTCAAAGGTTTTCAGTATATTCAGGTATGTGCAACCACCACCACTGTCACTTTTAGAGCATATTCATCACCCCAAAAGCAACCTGGCGCCCTCGAGCCATCACCTCCTAAGCCCACACCGTCTCCCCCAGCCCTCGGCAGCCACTCGTCTGCTTTCTGTCTCTCTCGAGCTCCCTCTTCTGGACATTTGGTGCACATGGAATCATGTACTGCGTGGGCCTCTTCGACTGCTGCTTTTCAACGTAATCACGTTGTGAGGGGTCCTCCATCCCGTAGCATCAGGACTTCACTCCTTCTCACGGATGACGACACTCCGCCGTCTGCTGTACCACTTTGTTCATCCTTTATCAGGTGATGGACGTTTGGGCTGTTTGCACTTTGCGGCTGTTGTGAATACTGCTGTCATGCGCACTCACACACAGTTTTTGCGTGGACATACCTTTTCTGTTCTCTCGGGAATACACCCGGGAGTGAACTGCTGGGGCACATGGTGGCGCCTTTTGAGGAGCTGCTGGTCTGTTTTTCCAAAGTGGCCGCACCGTTTGACATTCCCAGCAGCAGTGAATCGGGGCCATAATTCCCCCCCATCCTCTTACCATTACCACTTGCTATTATCTTTTTGACAGGGTTTTGAAGGATGAACAGGAGTGAGACCGGGCACAAAGGTGGGAAGTTCCTTCTAGGAAAAGGGCAGCTTGAGGGGAGACAAAGGAACAGCAGAGCAGGGGGCCGTGGGGAATGGTCAGAGGTCTGAGATTCCTGGAAAGCAGGTGGGAGGCAGGGACTTGCTGGTACGCACAGCCCCCAAGCTCATAATAGTAACAGCAGGCGCCCAGAATGTGCCGCTGGCTGGAGGCTGTCACACAGCTAACTCATTTAATCCTAGCACAGCCCTGTGAGGCCTCGGCTCCCCAATTCCTGCACTTGAGGAAGAGGAGACACTGGGGGGCACCTGCCCAAGGTGATAAGGGCAGTAAGAGGCAGCATTCAGGTCCTTCACAGTGATGGGCACGGCCCCCTAAGATGTCACGGAGGTGGAGATGCCTGGCAGCCTCTGTATGGCAAGGAGCCACCTAGTGTTGAAACGCTGGCACCAGTGGTTGCCCAGGAGCGGGGAGTGACAGCTGACGGATACGGGTTCCTGTCTGGGTTGATGCAAACGCTCTAACTTCACTACAGGCACGGCCGCACACGTCTGTGAACACTCTAAAATAACATGCTCTCAGGGGGGAGTTTTACGGCGTGTGAATTAGGTCTCAGCAACGTTCTGAGAAAAGCGAGCTCTGCACCGTGCTCCCAATCTGCTGGGCCCCCTGGTTTTGCTGAGAGGAGGTGGAGACCTGGGGATGGGGACAGCTCAGGTTCTTCTGGGACGGTGACAGTGGGGGCAGGCGACTCCTGGGCTCACACCTGCCTCGGGGTGGGGGTGGGGGGTGGTCCCAGGGCAACAAGAGCCACGTGAGACCTGGGTACCTGGGCCGAAGAGATGCGAGGCCAACACCCCCTCCCAGCAGGACAAGCCTCAGAGACCCCAGCGGCCCGAAGCCCTGCTTCCCAGCAATGTTGCAGCAATAAAAGCAGAAACGGCAAAGCTCTCAAGAGCCCGACCGCCAACGTAAAGCCTGCAGGCGGTTTAGAGGGAAGATGAAGCGAGGTTTGCCCTCATCTGTTTCCTTTTAAATAAACACTGCAAAGGTTACGCTGGGTCACAGTCACACGCATCTACAACTCCACATCCCGGGCACAGGATTTATAGATTCGGAAATGAGCCTCAGTCGTCTCCAGCAGGGAATTTCCATGGTCTGACGCGAGGCATCGGAGCGCACAGGGTGCACTCAGGGCAGGTAAGGAGAGCCATTTGTATGGTCGTTGCCATTGTTCACCTTGAGCAACACATCACCGGACACCGTTTGCTTCCTTTCAAACACCGGACCGAACGTGAGCCTTCTGCCCATCTGTGCATCCCTCATCAAACGGTTATGGAGCATCTACTACGGGCCCTGAGGAGTCCTGAACCACACGGCCCCTTCCCTCCAGGAGGGCAGACCAGTGTGTGCCTGTGGGTGTGCACGCACCCATGCATGTGTGTGTTGCAGGGTGGTGGTGACAGTAGCAGGGGATGATAATTACCAAGCAACGGGTATGTGTGGGAGCCCCGAGAAGGCCCCCTTCCAAGTCTGGGATCAGGAAGGGCTTCCTGAAGGAGGGGACGTCTGGGCCACGCCAGGCCTGCATAAGGCGCTGATGAGCATCCTCACAAGAGCCCTGTGAGGTGGGCAATTTCATCCTCACTTTACAGTTGCAGTAGTGGAAGCACAGAGAGGTCAAGTAGCTGGCCCCAGGCCACTCAGCAAGCACGAGGCAGAGTAGGGGGCTTAAGTCAGATCTATTTCTGTGTTAACATTCAACAACAGGTGGAGAGCCAGCCCTGATGGCCTAGTGGTTAAAGTTCAGTGTGCTCTGCTTTGGCAGCCTGGGTTTGTTTCCCGGGTGTGGAACCACACGACTCATCTGTCAGTAGCCATGCTGTGGTGGCAGCTCACATATAAGAACTAGAAGGATTCACAACTAGAATATACAGCTACGTAGTGGGGCTTTGGGGAGAAAAAAGAAAAAAGAGAGGAAGATTGGCAACAGATGTTAGTCCAAGGCGAATCTTTCCCAGCAAAAAAAAAAAAAAGAGTAGGCAAAGAAAAGAAAAAAAAGTCACCCCATAGTCCAGCACTGGACACAACCGTTTCCATTCCCGGAGGATCTTCTTTAGTCCCAGAGCACTGTGATCTCAGTAGTTGTCATCACTGGGGGCAGGCCTGTTTCTATGGGTCTCCTTTCACTTCAACACAAGACGTTTTAACACAGGTTGTTCGTATTAATCCATATACTAGCGTTTCCTTGGGACAGAGCTGTGTCAATTCTTTCTGTGTCCCCAGCCCCGGGTTCAGCGCCTGGGAAGGAATAAGTGCTCCAGAGTTACTTGTTGAATGTATTCATTCATTCATTCAACAAACACACATTGAGTGCGTGCCATGAGAGCCAGGCATGGCGCTAGGCCCAGGGGGTACTCCAGTGAATAAAGGAAGCAGAGATCCCCAAACACGAGGGGCTTATGTTCTGGTGGGAGACAGCAAACAACAACACAAATGGGCAAATGAAAGAGGCTGATAGAAGATGATGGAACGATGGAGAGAAATAAAGCCAGGAAGACCGGGACGGCAGGAGGTGTGCAACTGTGCAAGAGTGACCAGGGCTGGCCTCCAGGGAAGGTGACAGTCAAGCAAGATCTGGGTGAAGGGAGGGGGGCCCTGCAGTGCGTGGACACAGGGCACTGCAGGCAGAGAGCATGTGGTGTCCAGGACCCCCAACCTCTGGAGTCAGGGAGGCAGGGGGCTCCAGGAGGCATGGAGGCCCCCAAGGGGTGGGGCCGGGCAGGTGGGCAAACCTATATGTTGCTTCCTGGATTGCCACCCCCGCCCCAGCACACCCACCTGGCATCAGAGCATTTGCTTAGATCCTGTCTTAACATTAAGTAACAGGGCGTCTGTGGCTGCCGGTTGGTGCACTCCAGCGCAGGTGGAGTCAAGGCCTGCGTTTGTGCAGGAGCAGAGCAGCGCCGGTCACGGGTGGGGTCCTGCAGGTGCTGGCTCCCCGGCAGGTGCTCTTTCTTGTTATGCGGGGAACTGAAGAACTGCTCGCAGGCCCTGCGGTACAGGTCACTGTTTGCGTCCCCCTGTGGACAGAACCCATGGCGGGCGACAGGGAGGAGGCCCCGGGGATCCGGCCTTCCCCCAACATAAAACGAGCCTAAAAGGGCCTATGGACTTCACGTGGGCTGGCCGGGTCTGCCAGTCCCTTTCCACCTGGGAAATCACTTGCTGATTTGAGGCTTTTCCCAGCACAGCTGAGAATTTCAACTCATCCCAAGACCCCTGACTGGTCGGGATAGAAAGTGCTAGAAATGTGGCAACGAGGGTACAACACGGAGATTTGAGAATTGGTGGTGTTGGAGAGAGCCCACAACCAATTTTGGGCCTCGCTTATTTTCAAAGAGTTTGCTTTGAAATCCTAAACCAAAATGGACTCTACAACTAACTGACAAAGATCTGTCCTTTATCTAAATAAATATGCACTAACCCTTAGGTGCTTGTGTCTCCATGGAATATTTCTGGAAGATGCCCTAGAAACTGGTCATGGTGGACGTCTTGGGATGCAGAGGTGGGGTGGTGGATGTGAGGGACGGGGGCTCTGGCCTGTGAGTAGGACCCACCTCTCATTGTAAGCTTGTGTCCTGTTTGAAATTTTTTTTACCATGCATATATAGTATTTTTTTGTATATATACTATTTTTTAAATGAAAAATCTAGTTAATTAAGAAACATATATAGCTGTATGCATTTGCTTACATTTATTAGTTCAGAGATGTAAAAACTCCCCAAGGTCTGATGAGAGCTGGTTCCTGACTTGGAGTTGATACGTTCCTCCCGGGAGCCGGCCAGGAAATGACCGTGCTCTGGACGCTCTGTTGCTCACCTTTTCTCAGAATTCTCTCCCTTATCAGAGAGGAGCTCCCTCAGCCCGGAGATGAGCCCCGACCTGGGAGACGCCGTTGTGCGATTTCTTCCACGCCCACCGTGAGCCTGTGCTCCACCTCTCACGAGGAGAGCAGAACGAGCCTGCGCAGAGATGGCAGCGAGGGCATCCCCAGGGCTGGGGGAGTTCCGGGGAGAGGAAGGCTGGGGAGGGCTGGGCAGCGAGATGGGAGGACTGTGGGAGGGAACTCACGGAAGGGAGAGAGGGCTGCGGTGCCAACACCACCGAGAAAGGAAGAAAGGGTCTCCGAATGCCCCCTGCGGTCAGGGCCGGGACACCAGAGGGGACGTCCTAGCCACATGCACGCCTTGACACAAAATTCCATACTCTCACTTCTGCTTAAAGAAATACCTTCCTTGTACACTTAATCATGATAGTCCAGGGTGGAAGCTGGGAGCCTGTTAGGTTTGGTGACCTGTTGCACAATCATGAAGGGACCCAAACTCATTCAGATAATCCCTACAATGCCTTCTTTTGCAACCTGAAGCCAAGATTAGGACCCACTACAGAGAAAACGGATCACAGAGTGTCCAAGATACAGTCAAAGGAAAAACCCAACCAAGGACCATCCACTCTAGATGGCTGTCAATCAAAATGTGAGTCTTCACCTTCTAGAATCAACTCACGTTCCCCTTCAGACTCAACCAGGAGCAACTGACCTGCACGGGGCACCAGGCACTGAGCTGCGGCCAGGGGCCTCCTGGCTGCATGTCCCTTCCTTACCGGGCAGAGCACGGCAGCCGCATGAGCACCAAAAGGTGCCGCCTATTTGGTGGACAGAGAAATAAGACATGAAACTACAACAGCAGCTAATATTTCTCCAGCGCCTGTTAAGAGGCAGGCAGAGCTAGAATCAGCCTGACTAGGCCAAAATCCAGATGTCGGCAGGGCCAGGCCCCTCCGGAGGCTCCAGGGAGAATCTGCTCCTGGCCTCTCCTCCAGCCTCTTCTGGTGGCTGACGGCATCCTTGGTTCGTGGCCATGTCACTCCAATCTCTGCCTCTGGGGTCACACTGCCTTCTTCTCTCCTGTGTCAAATCTCCCTCTTGTAAGAACCCGTGTGGCTGCATAACCCCCTATCTCAAGAGCCTTCAAAGAGGCCCCACCCTTTTGCCATATAAGGCAACATTCATAGGGCCAGGCATTAGAACCTAGACATCTTTTGAGAAAGAACATTTGTCACTTTCCCACACCAAATGAGGATGATTACTTTGAAACCATTCCTCCTCCCAAAAAAAATACTTACGTCAGTTGCTGAGAAGTCAAGGCCCTCGCTCTCAAAGCCACTTCCTGGTGTACTCGTCCCTGATGGAGAAACAAATGGGATCAATTAAAACATTTGTCTCAGAAAAGGGCTCAGCCTGATTTGGGCGGGGGGGAGTGGAGATCAACTCGAGGGGCAGGAGTGTCTTCAGGCTTCTTGCGGGGGGACGCATGCTCGACTTCTGCTGAGGTCTGAAAATCCCCATGAACCAAGAGGGAACACCAGGGGCCTCTGACTTCAAGTTAGAAACACCTGGCCAGGGATGGAATGAAAATTAGAGAGAAACAGGAACAATGAAAACAGTTCATTTTTTATTAGCATGACAGATTCTTAGGTGACATTTAAAAAAATCGTTTATGATATTTTTACAGTAAACTTTTTAAAAGTTACTATGTTTTAAATAAGGCAGTAATACAGCTTATTTGTTCGTTTAAAAACCAAGCTCTGTGGGAGGGGCCTTTCTTTGTAACTCACCAGCTTTTCATGCGGTGACAATCTGCAAACCACCACAAAAGTAAGGCGGCCACGGGACTCAAGCATGACGAAGGATTAAGCAAGATGAGGTGTTCTCTGCTAAGTCTGACAAATGGCATTTTCAGGGAGGAAAACATGAGCAGAGAATGACAGCTGCTCTCAGGGGACCTTGGCCCCAGGTCTCAGGGTGCAGTCTCCCTAGCTCTGACATTCGTGACAAGGACCAGAGGCTTTGCAGCTGCTTCAGAACCATCAGCGACCCCCTTCTTGGCGGGTTGACTGTATCGGCTAATTCTTTTAGGCTAGACCAGTGGTTTCCCAATGGATTATTTTTATCTGCAGGTGCTTGACTGAAAACAAATGTGAGGTGGAAACCCAGTAAGTACAGTGGGCCAGAGTGGAGCTGCCTGTGGACCAACCTGGCCCTCTGGCTGTTTTTGTAAATAAAGTTTTATTGGCACACAGCTACACTCATTTATGTACACACTGTCTGTGGCTGCTTTCCCACTACAACCGTAGAGGTGAGTGGTTGTGACAGAGACCACATGGCCCACAAAGCCTAAAATATTTACTACCTAGCCCTGTGCAGAAGTTAGCTGATCCCTGCTCTGGATGAAGCTGGGGTGGGGGCTCACGCTCCAGAGCAAAGGGAGGGGGGCACCAAGTATGAACACTTACTGAGCTCTTACCAGGTGCCAGGCACTGAGCACCAAGGTCCCTATGGTTTATGTCACTTGATCTGCACCAAACCCTGTGCCGCACTGTGATCGATAAGACTGCCAATAAGGGAAAAAAAAAAAAAAAAGACGGAAGGAAAGTGCCCTCTGTGGCGAAGGCATGCATGGTAAGTAGACAATAGATGGAGTTCCCTTCTTCACCTTAGGCTGGGATTCCCAGAGGCGGGCCCTGACACAAGGATTTTGGTCCAAGTGGTTTTTTTGGGCAGTGATCCCAGGAAATGCTGGAAGGACGTGGGGAAGTGAGTCAGGGAAGGGAAGAAAGCCAGCATAGGGTGCCTTACCCAGCAGGGGTGGCTACAGTCAATGGGGCGCAGTCCCATGGGAGCCTCCGGGGGGCGCGTGGACTACACCTCAGTGTTGTCAGAGTGGGGCCGGGGTATTTATCCACCAACTTCAGGCGCCCTGGATAGCGGATGCTTGGCGTGTTAACCCCCAGCACATGTGCCGCGCCTCAGGGCGAACAATGCCCGGGTCTGCAGCAGGCCGCTGATGGCGCGTGGGGAAGCTCCAGCCCACCCCGGCCAGGCCCCACTCACCGCACAGCGCCTGCACCTTGTGTGCTGCCTGCCTCCGCAGGAAGGCTCGGTAAGCCTCGGAGCTCTGGTAGGCTCCCGGCTCGCGCATGTAGCGCTGCTTGTCCTCATCCGCCTCGTAAATATACCGCTGGAAGAAGGGGCACAGGGATTCTGAGACTCTCCTGGTCTGGGAGGCTGGGGGTGTCCTCTTGTCCAACTTGCTTTGGATTCATTAGGAGGGTCCCCAGAAGCTACTGCCCAGGTTCTGCTTGCACACCTCCAGGGATGGGGACCTCACTACTTACCAGCAAGGTCATTCCTTGTTTGAAAGATGCTGACAGTACAGAAGGTTTTCCTTCCAATCAGCTGAAACCTGCCTCCCTGTGGTCTTCACCATTCTGCCACATGTGGTCTGAGGACTGCAGAGCAGGGTAGCACTATCAGCCCCCTCCTGAGGGACATCACACTTCTCTTCAATTACCACTCATGCAAACGTCAGTGCCTTCCCCTCTGCAGGGTCCTGGGTTGGGTACTGGTGGCAAGAGATGAGTTGGACCCAGCCCACTGCTCCTGGTTTCCCTCCACCGATAACACCTGTCTCGCCTTTCCTGCCCTGGGCAAACCTTACTTACCCTTCAAGATCCATCGCGGAACATTTACCTCCTGACACTCTTTCTCTGATGCCCCCAGGCTGGGTGAGACACTCCCACAGGAGGGGTTAGGTGCCTCCTGGAGTCCCCCAGACCTGTGTCCCAGGGACCCCTCACCCTGGATTGCATGTGTCCACTTCGGGGGTCCTGACCCCCTAGACCATGAGCTCCTGAAGGCAGGGACTTTGATTCCCCTCCAGGCACAGAGGCAGCACCAGGCCAGCCTGGTGTAACCCAGGGACAACCGGAGGGGGGTATCGGCAAAAGTTTGCCCTGAGAACACCTGTCAGATCATTTATATTCACAGTGATTATTTACTTTGTGCACCTGGTAATTTGAAACAATCATCTTAAGTAAAAATAATTTTAAAAAGCATTGATGGGTTGGGCTGGTCCTGGTTAAACTGGAGCGGCCAGTCCCTTGGATGGCCTCTTCCTCAGGTTCTGGACCCTCTTTCCACCTGGCGTGTGGCGCACGGCCTCTGTCCCATACCTGCAGGGACTTGAGGCCCACTGAGGGGACAGCTGATAACGGTGTAAGGCAGGCTTTGAACTCGGCTTTGGAGGACCTCCGGCACGGCAGCTGGGGAGAGGGAGGGTGAAGGATTTGTGAAATCGTGAAAAGAGCTCAGAGACACCGTAAAACCTGGGATCGGAGGTTTTGCCCCTCACTGTCCCCTAAGAGCTGCGCTGTGCTTTGCAATCACCATGCTTATTTGCAGAGCCAGCTGTAGTCTTGTCTCAGCTGCTCGGACTGGAACGTTAGGGGCTTAAGTCATTGCAACAGGTGGGGCCTAACCTTGCCATCCTCATGCAACTTAACCACAGTAGCTTTGCTCTGATCTGTGTTACATGTTAGCATGCGTGCAAGCACGCAGGAGTGAGTGTGTGAGGGGCACTTCTTCACCACTCCCGATGTTTCTGTATGGAGGGAGCTCCCTTAGCGTCACCCTGCTGGCCTCTCTTGTACCACCCTCCCCTCCACGGTGCCAGCAGGGGCTTATCTGAGTGGTAAATTGGGAGCCAGACCAGAGATGCCCGGTGGAGCCCCTCCCTCTCTCCTCTGCCCAGAGATGTGCTGGCTGGCAGAGAGCAAGGGCTCTAGTCTGCTCTAGGCATGTGGTCATGGGCCTGCCCTGACCAGGGTGGCCGGGAGTTGTCCAGTTGTCTGACTAACTACTGGATCTATTTCCTAATTGGTTGCAAACCCGGGTAGGAAGGAGAGGGGTGTTATTAATTGACAGTCCCCCAAATCAGCATTTCTCTGTAATAGTTAATTTGAAACAAGGGTTTTCTACGGCCAAAACAAGTTAAAAGCGCAGAGGTTAAAGAAGTTCATCTCAGGGTCTTTGCATCTGACCCAAAGAAATGACACTCTGGAGGCAGGGAGCTGTTCTGGGGTCAAACTTAGAAGGGGTGAGGGAGGGCTTTGGGTAGGAGGTGACGTTGGAGCAGGCATTTTGTGATCAGCGTGGCTGAAATGAACAGTGTGGGGAGGGAGCGGCAGGAGTTGGTGTTGGATATGTCTGCCGTGTTAAAAGGGCTTTGGTTGCATCCTGTAGGCTGGTGCTTCCTCCCCTGGGGCCCCAGAACACACTTCCACAGGAGGTAAACAGATGCTCTGTGAAAAAGGGTTCCGTGGCAGAATTAGTCTGAGAAATCCCTTGCAGTGGAGACGACACGTGGAGACCCTCAGGCCCCTGACGGACTCTGCTGTCTCTCCCTCCACAGCCTCACTCTAGGAGAGCACAGACCACGTCTGAAACCTCTTTTAAGTGAACAAAATCACATTAAATTCTCCAAAAACTTCCTGCAGAGGGAAAAATCTATTTCACTTTATTTATCCCAGAGTTTCCTTAAACTTATGAGACAATTTACCTGTGTTTCATGCATTAGCCATTCTCCCCAGCACAGTTTGGGAGATGGTGGATGCCAAAAGCAATAGTGAACCAGTAATTCTTTTAAGGGGTGCGGTGAGAGGCACCCCATGCCTGCATTCCAGAAAGTTCCCTTGGTTCCAGTGTGAAAAGGTGGACAAGGAGGGAACAGCCACTAAGGAGGCTGCAGACAGCTTCTCTCCTCGTTCGACGCAGAAAGCGACTTACCCGCTTTTTCTCGTGAGACAGCTGATCCCACTGCACAGCCAGCATCTTCGTGATTTCTGTAAAAGGCAGATCTGGGTGCTCGGCCCTCAGCTGACTTCTCTGCTCGTTTAGGAAGATCGCGTACCTGCGCCAGGAATGGAACGAACACAACAGCTCTGGGCAGCCGGCTGGGACGGCAGTCAGCCGGGTCCACTGCAGCTCCTGCCATTTTCTGGTTTTCATAAAAATAAATAGCCATGAGGTTGACCATATTTTTAATCTAACCATTAAGAGGGGAAAATGACTGGTTTATCCAGAGACTGGCGAAAGAGGAAGGAGCCAGAAGAGGCCCCCTGCGGGAGGGGCATGAGACACATGAAGACTGGGTGGGCAAGGCACTCATCCCACAGGAGCCTCAGTTTCCTCCTCTGTGTAATGGACGTGATGCCAGCTGCTCACAGGTGTTACGTGGCCTGCATGCTCCAGGTACAGGCCCTCCCACCCTCCTGAAGAAGAAGGATTCGTGTCCAGGGAGAGGGGGAGGGGCTGTGGGCGTTGGAGTTAAGACAATACAGTCTTGGGACCAAGAGGCCCACCCACAGGTATTACATGATAAAGACCCTCACTCTTAGGAACCTGGAAACCCTGAGGATAAAGAGAAGAGCTTGCAGCCTTCCAGAAGAGCAAGGTGACCTTGAGAGCAGTGGGAAGTGGCTGGTGTGGACCACTCTTCTGCATCCCAAGATGCCAGGGGACAAGGGACAAAGTCTCAGGGCACTGGGAGGGGCGTTTTGAGCCTTGATGAAGGTTAACCAGCTCTTAGAGGCCCCGGAGCCCCCACTTCTGTAAGCCTGGAAGGGATACCAGACCCCCGGGCCCCACAGCCACCCCCTTTCCTGTCTGTGACGCAAGCCCAGCTCTCCTTTGAGCATCAGAACACTGTTATAGCTGAGAGAACTAAACAGCCGGCCCTCAGGCCCTGTGGTGTGAGGCCCCCTAACAATCCACTTTCCTAAAAACTGGATAAAAGCTGAGATGGGCCCGAGGCCACACTCGGCACGGCACAGTCACATGTGACCTTAACCCTGGTCAGGTCATCGGCCCGTCTTACCCTGTCGTAGGAGCGCGGGGAACAGAAAGGTCCCTCAGGGGCTTCCTTTTCTTGCCTTTGGGCCAGCCCCCTCTCCTTTTCTGAAAGAGAAATACCATAGAGGGAAACCTCGATGGTCAACAATGGTCTACCACGTTTGCGTCACAGTCAACAATGTAAACCATGGACTGGTGTCTTCTCTGTGCTTTGCCCACGTGGCCTCTAACCTCCCAGCAACTCTGCAGAGTGGCAGTGATCGTCCCTGAAGATGGGGGAACCGAGTCACAGAGAGATGCCATCACTGCCCCAGAGTCCACAGCAGGTGAGCAAGCCTGGATGTTCCCTCCCACTGTGTGATGACTGAATAATGGTCATTGAGTGCAATCAAGAAAGCAATCCAGGGCCAGCCCTGGTGGCCTAGTGGTTAAGTTTGGCACACTCTGCTTTAGCAACCCAAGCTTGGTTCCTGGGTGCAGACCTACACTGCTCTGTTAGTGGCCATGCTGGGCTGGCAGCCCACATACTAAAAAATAGAGGAAGATTGGCATGGATGTTAGCTCAGGGCATATCTTCCTCAGGAAAAACAAAAAGCAATCTGAGGCTTAAATAACTAGGTTACCAGGAGGATGAGGCTAGCCTCGGCAGTGGGGGACAGGGTCAGATGGTCGACATCTGAGCTTTACTGACACACAGCCTGTGTTCACATCTCAGCTCTGCGACTAACATGCCATGTGGCCTTAGGCAAATTAGTAACATCCCTGTGCCTCAGTTTCCCCACTTATAGAACAGGGATCATAATAGTTGTTACCTTGTGGGTTGCGGTGGGGATTAAATGTGTTCATATTCATGTAGTTCTTAGAACAGAGCCAGGCATACAGTAAGTGCTCACTAAGTGCAGGCTGCTGTGATGGAATACAGAACCTTCTCCCCCTGAAGCCAGCTCTCGGGAGGGAAACCCAAGCCGCAGGCTCAGCCTCCCACTCATCGCATTCCTTGGTTCACGGGCAGAGCCTGAGCCCTTGCTGTCATCGGGGCCCTGTGCCACACTCGGAGGCTGGAGGGTTCTTCACGGACAGGCTCCACTCTCAACAGCTCATCATCTAACGGCAGAGGCTGACTTGTACATAAATAATCATGACAATTCATCATAGGAGTTAGGGGTTACAGAATGACAGCCTGGATGCCCTTGCCTTCAGTACTCACTTTCAAAGGTTCATACACCAAACACACGCTTGTGCCCACAATGGTATAGAGTGATCAAAATATGGCCTTGAAACCTCTGTTTCAGCTTTCCCGTTTTCAAAGCCCCCTCCCAGATATGACAATTTTGGCCTTCCCAGGGCCAGGAGATACAAAGCTGGTCAGCAGCCCAGCAGGCCTGCTGGGTGCAGATCTGGCACTGCCACAACCAGAGACCAGATGTGCTGGGGACCACGCGACAGAGGAGGTCAGGGCAGCACCTGGCTTTCGGGGCTTCAGCAGTCGGAGGGCCGAGCTCGGGCCAGGCAGAGGCCACCAGCCAGGGTAGCAACCACGTGTGTTAACGAGATAGAGCCACAGAGGAAGGTCCAGGCACACAGTAGGTGCACAATAATGACACTCCCCCTCGTTCACTCCTGTGCGTAGACTACGCTGGTCCCTGGAGTCTGAAAGTGGACGACAGTCCTTTCAGGACCCTGGAGAGCTCCTGGCACCGAGGTTGGCACTGATTTCGCAGCATAAACACTGAAAGCGACCACAGTTTCCATAGTGGAGTTTGTGGGGCTCTCCAACGCACATGCCCCTGAATGGGAGTCTCGCATTCCCCAGTCGAAGCAAGTAGCATCACCCTGCGCCACAGGAGGACTCTCAGAAAGATGACGCGACTTGGCCACTGAGTGGCAGTGCCACGCTGGAGCCAGGAGCACACCGCGGACCCAGAGCTGCCTGAGGGCAGGTGGGACGTGGGCCAGGTCACCTCTGGCTCGCTTTGCAGTGGCACCTCCTCTCTTCCTGCTCAGCTCCTCTGCTGCAGCACAGAGGGAACGTTGTTTGTTTTTTAAAATTAGAGGAACTATTTTCATGTATCTTATTGTTCTTCTTGATATTCTAGTATTATAATGAGTCAAAAAATCAAAATAAATGTGCTGATGATTTTACTGCCATCCTTGGCCCTTTGTTTTAGCTTCTTTAAAAGAAAACCCTTCCTGAGTGTTTTCTTAGTTTGCCCAGAAACCATAGTTACTGAGACAAAGGCACTTGAGGAGGCCGCAGGGACGTTTCTCTGGGAAGCGTTTTGTTCTCGCTGAATTTCTCACACAGGATTTCTACCAAATTGACTCTGCCCTTAATAGAGCCACGTACACAGGGAGCTGAGCACGAGCACAGGGTGTTACTACGTGGAGAACATTTCCCACACACATGAGGGCATCAGTTAAAAAGGAAAAGCAGAAGCAGAACATGACTGAGTGAGCAAAGGCTGATTAAAAACCTGTAGCCAGCGGCAGAGCAAAAAATCAGCTGGGGGCAAAATTCAAGGGAAAAAAACCCTTTCTAAAAAGACTCTTGACCAGCACAGATCCTTCATGTTCAAATTGCAACAGACAGTAAATTTTGGATTTTTGGTTTTATAGACAGAATTTTCTGTTACAAAGAAAACCTCCTCGGGGAGTCAGCAGGAGGTGGCAGAGCTGGGATTCCAATACCTGGCTTCAAAGCCAGCCTCTTCCTACTTAGTCCCCACTGTGCCCTCCACGCCACTCCTCACCAGTTGCTTTCCCCACGCAGAACACGGATTGGGGCTGCCCCCAGGGGAGAACTGCTCACCCCACTGTAGAACCTTCACCAGCAACCCCAAGTCTCCTGGAGCATTTAGGCTCAGGATCCAGACTCTCTGAGCTCAAATCCTGCTCTGCTATTTACTGTGTGACCCTGGGCAAGTTCCTTGACTTCTCTGTGCCTCAATTTCATCCCCATTGAAAAGTGGGGATAAAAATACCAACCTCACAGTGTTGCGAGGGTTGGAAGAGACAAAGCACAGGAGTGCCCCGCCCAGAGCTGAGCACAGAACATGATGACCATGCAGCTGTTAGCACTCAGTTATGGAGCCAGCACCGCATGTGAGGCCCTCCGTGCCGGCCTGGACAGCATTTACCTTTGGTTCCTCCGTGTCCTGCTCCTTGGGGTCCCTCTGGTTGGCCAGCACGACTTGTTGCACAGGCAGAGACGCCAGGTCCCGGCAGTGGGCCTGGATCACGGAGCTCCCGGGGGGCAGGCCACCTGGTCCATCTGGAGATGGGAGAAGGAATTCTGCAGGCACTGGAACAGCAAGGAACGGCCGTAGAAGGTCAGAGATGTGGAAATTAGCACCGCCGCTAGAGTCTGTCCAGCCCAGGCACTCTGCGATGTGACGTTTGCATTTTCAAATTCTCGCAGTGACGGCCAATGCCTGAAAACTCAGTTGGTGGTCACTTTTCTGGGGCACAAACGTTAACTACACAGGGGGTTGGCACAGAGAATCACATCACTCCCAGTGAGCAGGTGCAACTGAGGGCCCGGGCCTGTCTCTCGTGCCCTGCTCTGCTGGACTCGGCTCATGGCCCCTCACCCATAAAGCGTCATGGCTAAAAGCGTGGGCTCTGGGCCCGACCACCGGGGTTCAGAGTCCAGCTCCCATGACTCAGCTTCGCAGCATCAGCAGCACACTTCAGCCGCGGGGACCACGGTTTCCTCTTCATACACGAGGGCAAATTTCAGACTACTTCACAGGGGTGTTGAAAGGCCGGCTCACCGACAGGTACTTACAGGATGCCTGCTGGGTGCTGGGCACGGCAGACATCAGTGCACGTGCACACAGAAATCCAGTCCCTCTGGAGCTTACATTCTGGGGGGAGGATTAAATTAGACCCTGCAGAGTCCTCAGAACAGCTCATGGCACCTCGTAGGCTCTCGGTAAATTCACCGTTATTTTAGTGGCACTTTAAATTGGCACATTTGCAGAAATCTATGCCTCGAGAATGTTGAGAGTGTCAACTGTGGGCATGTTAGCCCCCGATTCCCCGTGACGGAGCAGGACGGTAATGATGGCCCCGTTCTACAGATGGAAGGGAGGTAGGAATGGGCCATCACATAGCTCAGGTCTGTTAGGTGCATGCACGGCCTACGTGCACACATGGGCCCGTGTGTAAATGGGGAAACTGAGGCACAGGGAAGCAGAATGATTACCCAGAATCACAGGTAGGAAAGGGCAGGCGAGACAGGAACCCCGTCTCCCGGCTGCCAGTGCGGGGGTCTGTCCCTCCCCGATCCTGCCTCTGCTGTGTCTCCTCATGCCGAGGGGAAGGTAACAACCCTCAGGGTACCAACCTCGTGTGACCTCATCAGGATCCCATTGAGTGTTACTTAATGCCACCACGCAGGAATGCCCCCTGCCAACCTGCCCCCAACACCCAGCGAGGAAAGACAGGAAGGAGCCCTCTGACTTCTAAATAGGGTGTTCTGTCACCAATTCCAGTGTGCGTGTGTGTGCGTGCGTGAGTGTGTGTGTGTGTGTGTGTGTGGCGGGGAATCCCCACACCACTCCCAATTCCCTGGACACCAACTGAATGTCCTGTAATTGAACTCAGTTCCGACATCCTCTACCTGGAGCCAGCATCAGACTCTGCAGGTTAAGGGCTCAGTCCCACAAGACGCTGCCCTCCACCTCAGATGCCAGTTGCGACTCCAGGCTGTGACCTGTGCTTCTGACTGACTGACTACCAACTGGAGGTTCCCACGACCCCCTCAGCTCTGGGTGCCAACTGCAGGTCCCAGGTGTCACCTGTACTTTCAACCCACGACCACCTCCTTGGGTTTGATTAATTTGCTAGAGCGGCTCACAGAACTCAGAGAAATATTTACTTACTGAATCACTGGTTTCTTATAAAGGATCTAACTCAGGAACAGACGGATGGAAGAGATGCACAGGGTGGAGTACGGGGGAAGGGCACGGAGACCCCACACCCTCTCCAGGGCGCCACCCTCCCAGCACCTCCACGTGTTCACCCACCCGGAAGCTCTGGAGCCCTGTCCTTCTGGGTTTTTATGGAGGCTTCATTATACAGGCACGATCGACTACATCATTGGCCATCAGTGACTGATTCAGCCTCCAGCCCCTCTCCCCTCCTGGAGGTCTGGGGGTGGGACTGAAATAACAAGACACCTTTATGGCTCTCATCACTTAGGACATTTCAAGGGTTTTAGGAGCTCTGTGCCAGGAACAGGGATGAAGACCCAATATATATTTCTAACTATAAATCACAACATCCTCTCAGCTTCCTGGGGAGAGGAAATGTAGCAAATAGTGATGACCAAACCCAGAGCTCCAGAACTTTCCTGGCCTGTACCCATTTCTGTATCCACATGGCCAAGGCTGGTCAAGGCCTTGTTGTCCATCACTGGGACTGATTCAAGGGGGATCCACGAGGTGATGGTAAAAGATAGAGCTCGCCCCTCCAGCACCCAGTGCCCTCCCTGGAGGCCGCCACTGTTGGGGGGCTCTTCACATACCCTTCCAGAGCCAGTCTCCGCATTTACAAACACTTTGGTCCCCCCAAACAATGGCAAACTGGTTGTGCTGACCTTAATTTGCGTCTTTTGTTGACTGTGTCTTGGAGCTCTTTCTGCCCACTTAGAGCCACTGAATTCATCCAGAAAGACCCTGGCTGGCACACTGCCTTCCGTGGGGCTCGACCCATTTCATGGCCACCACCAGTGTAGGCCTCGCCTTCCTCCCAGGGGTCCCTGTCTCTGGGCCCATGGGCGAGAGTCCCACCACCTCCTCTGCTCACACTCTTCTGTAGCCTCCCCTGACTTCAGCATACGGTCCAGGTCCCAGCCTGGCATTCGAGGGTCCAGGAGGCTGGGCCCTCACGGCTCATGCAACCCCACTCTAATCCAACTTATATCACCAGCTCTGAAAGGTGGGCATCAAAATGCACAACGATCAGACACTTCACGCATATCATCCCACTTCATCTTCAGTCTGACTCTTATCACCATGGCGATATCCACAGGTGGAGAAAGTTCAGAGAGGTCAGTGCCCTTCCCAAGTGTCCATAACAGGGTAGGGGCAGATGGGACCATCCACCCTGAACTGCCTACTCTTGCTATCTCCCCAGCCACCTTGCAGACAAACAGAAATCCTCTCCCATCCAGTGCAGCCCGACGTGTGTCTTCAGATGCCCTCACCCTGCTGGGCTCGTGGCCCCCTTTCCAAAGGTCCCGGTGCAGCCAGGCAGCAGGAGGAGCCCATTCGAGAGACAGCTCTCAGCTCATTCCTTCAGTCAGTGGACAGACATAAGGGCCCGGGTGGGACAGAGTAGCAGGCCCCAGGCAAGGGCTGCAGAAACAGCAGCGGGCAAGAACACAGCCCACAAGGTCAATACCAAGTCTTAGGTTCCCTGGAGGGCAAAGCCATGGTGATCGCTTTGCCTAATGCCCTCATTTTAACTAGGAGTAAACTGAGGCTCAGGAATGCTCTATGTCTGGCTCAGGATCTCCAATCGAGAGAGGTGGGGGCTACCCTGGAGCCCCAGCATCCCCACTGGCTGGACAGCACAGTGAGCACACCTGTGACTCAGCTGGAAGGTCTGGCTTCCCAGCCAGCTGTGCCACCTCCCAGCCACATCACCACTTGGTGCCTCCGTTTTCTCACCTGTAAGATGAGGCTACTAAGAGGGGGCCACTGAGGAATGACACAGTTCTTACAGTGCCTGGCACCCACGGCCAGGAACCGCTGTTATGCTGACGTCAGTCTGTGTTGGACGTGAGAATACAGTCCGTGAGTTCAACTTTAGGCCCAAAGGTCACTTGCCCTCCGGTGATGGAAACACATTAGCCAGGAGCGAATTTTGCAGTTTTCGCTTAACTGCCATACAACGTGGGAAACGGAATTTTCTGCATAAAGGAAGGTTCTGGACCTGAACTTTTCCAGCACCAATTTGCATGCTTGACGCTGAAGGTCCGACACCCACCGACCCGGGCTGAACCCTGGTTACACCCAGAACGACCCGTGGGGCCGCGTTCAAGTCACTGAATGCCCTCTGTTCTCACTGCGGGGATGGGACGTCCGGCTCCCAGCTCGCCGCGGGCGTCACACGGACAGGCGAGCGCAGGTTCGCCGAGCCTGGGCCGGGGCCCAGTGCGCCCCACCAGGCCACTGCTCTTCTGGCCGGAGTCGCCCGCTGACCGCGCACCCCAAGCAGCGGCCGCGACCACAGCGTTGGGCCCGGATTGCAGGCCGGCCCGGAGCACGAGGCTTCAGCACTGGCAGCCACGGACGGCGCCAGGCCCGCGGGGAGGAGGTCACGGCGGTGGGGGGCGCAGGCCCGAATCCCTGCCGGGCCTGGACGCCGCCGGGCTGGGCTGCACCGGGGCGCCCGGACCCCGTCCCGGGGACGACCCCACACTCCCCGGGTGCGGGGCGCGCGCAACAGGCGGAGGGGGCCGCCCGTCCAGCCACTGACCCGCAGCCTGGCCGCAGTCCCGCTGCATGTCGCCTGCCCGCCCGGGCCGCCGCCCCGCGCCCGCCGCTCCGATCGCCCCACCCGGTGCGCCCGCCCGGTGCCCTCCGCTCCGCCCCGCGCGGTGGGCGGACCCGCAGGAGGGGCAGGGCCACGGCCGGCGGTCCCCGAGCCACTGCGGGTCCCTGGGCGCTGGCTTGCCCAGGGCCAGAGTCCCAGCCGCGCAGGGTGCTCCGGCTCCGGGCTTTCCGAGCTGCCCGGGCCCGGGCAGGGACAGCGCAGGGCCGGGGAGGGGGAGGAGGGAGGGGAGGGAGCGGGGGGAGGGGAGGGAGGAGAGGGGGAGGAGGAGAGGGGGAGGGGAGGAGGAGGGGGGAGGGAGGGAGGAAGGGCGAGGAGGGGAGGGAGAGGGGGAGGAGGGGAGGGGGGGAGGGGGAGGAGAGGAGGAGGAGAGGAGGGAGGGGAGGGGCGGGGAGGAGGGGAGGGAGAGAGGAGGAGGGAGGGAGGGGAGGGAGGGAGGAGGAGGGAGGGGGGAGGGGAGGGGGGAGGAGGAGGGGAGGAGAGAGGAGGAGGGGAGGGAGGGGAGAGAGAGGAGGGAGGGAGGAGGGAGGGGAGGGGAGGGGCGGGTAAGAGAGGAGGGCCCGGCAGCCCCGCCCCGCGCCCCCGCCTCTGCCGGAGCCGGTCCCTCGCCGCCCCCGCAGTTACATAAGTGCGCCCAGTTGGCGAGAAAGCTGATCAGCGAAGCTCATCTTTAAATTACTTATATGTCTTTTAATATTTTCACATCATACAAGAACGCATACATTATCGCTGTGGCGAAATTAGAAAGTTCAGAGCACACCCTCTCCCGGAATCCAGCGCTTCAAAAACCACCTGTTAACCCACTGGTGTGCCTCTTTTACGTTCAAAAGATTCAAAATATAACTTCAAAGATAATTCTTAAACATTTAGAAATAGCCACGAGCTCCACCCCCTCCTTCCAATGGCAACTCTTCCGTGGTGGCATATTCCCTTCCCTCCCGTCAGGTGGCCCGAAGGTAACGATGGGCTTCACAGGCTCCCTGTGGGTAATTTTAGAGACGGCAGTTCCTGGAGGCAGATGGTCTAGGACCTCTGCGGGGTGACCTTGGGCTGGTTACTTCACCCTTTGGGGCCACATCTTTTGGTCTGTTAAGTAGGAATAATAATAGTGGCTATTACATAGGACGGTTGAGAAATCAAAGAGATAATGCTCCTGAAGGACGTCGGAGGCACTCAACAAATATGTTAGCTATTATTATTGAGGTCTTCTGCATGTATTAAGGATAATGAGCAATAATTATGTAACAATATAATTTGGTCTTTTCATACTCCCTCAAGGCTCTCCACTCGGTTCCCTTGTTTTATTTTTAACCAACCAGAGGCTTCAACACATAGATCACTGAAGCTCTCTATCCCTCAGTTTCTTCGTCTATAGAAGAGAGAGAGCATAAATACCACCACTGAGATGTTCGAGGGTTAAATGAGATGCCAGGAGAGGTGGATGTACAGAACTGTTGAGTACCATGCCTGGTGTGCATTGTGTGGCGAGTGACATAAACAGCTGCTCTTATCACTGGTGTTGTCCAGTGCTCACAGGGAAGCCCCAGGGCTGAGCCAACCTGGGCTGGACTCAGACAGGAGCTGGGACGTCTAGAGCACCATCCCTTCTTTTGCCAGTGGAGGAAACTGAGTCCCGGAGAGGGGACGTGGCTTGCCCAAGAGAAGCTCCTTCTACCGCCTCCCCCCCCCACACAAAGCTTCTCAGTTCGGTCCAATTAAATGCAGCACATATACCATGAGATCCCCTCTTTGCAAAAATGAGTAAAAAATACTCCCTGAAAATCAGTCCTTGAGAATAACTAAGAAAATTATGAAATAGAAGAACTCTCAACTGAGACTTGCGTTTTCATACGTCAGACTATACGTAAGGCACTGGAATCTTAAATCAGTGAAATATTGATACAGGAGTGGACAATACACGCTCAGGGCAGAAGACAGTACTGAAATTAAATCCAGAATATGTGTTAGGTTAATTTATGACAAACAAAAGAGTTCATTTCAGTGAGAAAGAATGAATTATTAAGCAATAATGCTGATAACTGACTAGCCATCTGAAAGGGAAAAGATGCACGCCAATCTTCTTCCAAATACAAAAGTAAATTCTTACATATATTAAAGACCTAAGTTAATACAGCAAACATTGCAAATCTCACAGGAAGACTTTGGCATCCCAGTAGCATGCTCAGCCAGATATGCTCGACCGAAACCCCCTCTCAAATGAAGACACTGAGATGGGGGGTTATTTATAACAAACTCAAAATGCCCTGCTGAGCTCACAGGAAAATCCAGGGAAATACCCAAGGGCCAGACTTCTCCACAAAAAAAAGAATAATCAGCCCTAACTAGAGTGGATATGAACACAGAAGCCTGGGCTCCATTGGGGGCAGCCACCTACACAGGAACTTCAAGTCTGAGGGACTCGTGCTGGTACAGAGGATGGATGAAAAAATCCGCCAGTGTCTGCTGCCTTTGGTTGGAAAAGCCAAAGACATACAAACAGTCTTTCCTGAGAATTTGTAGCCAGAGGACTGCTCTCATGTGTGTCTGAAGCTCAAATTTGCACTGCCACCAAGGTAAGGAAAAATCACCTGTTAAATTAAATTAAAATAGTTACAGATTGGTAGCGCCCCCTGGAGCCCAGAAGAAGCAAATGCTCTCGGGAGAAAAGCATCTTTTTAATCAGATCCATCGCCACACACCACATATGGGCTCATAATAAAAATTACCAAAGACAAGAAGAAATAACTCAGTATGTGAGAGTCTGCAGGATAACAGCAATTTAGATCCTCAAGCATTTTTGACAGTAGATGCATAATTCGCAGATTAAAAATAATCCTGTATAAACACAAAATGTTAAAAGAAATAAAAATGGAATAAAAAAGTTCAAAGAACAAAACTCAAACGAGATGACCAAGAATACCTGAAAAAGAACCAACTAAAACATCTTGAAATAAGACATGTAATCATTGAAATAAAAGCCTTAATTGATGGGTATATAGCAGATCAGATTGTTTGAAGAGAGAATGAGTTAACAGGAGGACAGATCTGAAGATATTACCCAGCATGCACCTCCAAGTGACAAGGAAATGAGAAATAGGAGGGAGAGGTTTGGGGGCATGCATGATAGAATATGAAAGTGTAGCATTTGTCTAACTGGAGTTCCACAAGATGAAAATGGAGAAACGATATTTGAAAAGATAGTGGCTGAAAATTTTTCGCAATTGTTCAAAGGGACCACATTTCAGATCTAGGAAAAACAACGTGTGCAGCATAAATAAAAAGAATTACACATAAACATATCAGATGAAACAAGAAGACGTCAAAGAGAAATCACAGAAGCAACAAAAATGAAAAGACAGCTATTCTGCAAGATAATGAAAATTGCTGTATTTCATTAATTCTAAGATACATATCTTCTCACCATTTAACATGTCTGACATTAGGACCCATGCTATTGATGGAATCTTACAATTCACATTGACACATTGACAACATATTTCTTTCTTACTAGTAATAAGATAATGGTGGGTCATATATTTAATGACGTCTTAGAGTGAGTGAAACATGGCGGACGGGCTACAGACGTGTCGACAGCAACTATGGAAACCCAAACACAGAGAAATAATGTAATCAAGGTGTTGGGAGAAAATAAAAACAAAAACACAGAGTTGAGATTTCTGTTTTCATCCATGAGGAAAATTGGAAAAACTACATGAAAAAATTGTTTTCAGATATTGGACAACAGATGGAGCAAAACCACGATCCCTGAAAGAAGAGAAGCAAATAAGGTGAAATCTATGATCACTCGGCTTCCTGCCTGGAGGCACTTCCTCAACTGTGATGCAAGGAAGGGGAACCAAAGTAGAGCGTGGCGATTTCACTGAGTTGAAGAGAGAGAGAGAGAGAGAAAGGAGGGATGCCAAGGCAGCTGTGATTTGAGAGGTAGAGCGTCAGACAAGAGAGGACTATGCGGGGAAAGAGCTTGAGAACTCCACATAGGGGCTCTCTTGTGTTCATGGATGAATACTAAGCCAAGCATACATCAGGCGAAACTTCATGAGTCCAAGCAAAGAAAAGCTACAAGAGAGCTCAAAATGAAATAATTGCTGGATCTCTCACAGGGCTGGGAGACACTTGAGCTCTAATCAGCCCGAGTGGAAAGACCCTGTTGAGTACCCGAGGGCATCCAGTAGAGGCCCCAGGATGGCCATGCCTTAGGAACAGTGCTGACCTGGTGCTGATGTGAAAGCATCAGGACCCAACCTAGCAAATAGTAAAACTAAACTTCAAGAGCATCAAACTGATCTGCAAGCAACTTAGCTGGCTGCCAGTAGTAAGCCAAACCTTCTTTAAAGGAAGAAGACAAAAACTAGATGCTAAGCAACATAACATTCACAATGTCCAGCATCCAGCAAAAAATTACTAGACAAATGAACCATGAGAAGGTGGACATAACTAGAAAAAAAAATAAGTCAACAGAAAAAGACCCAGACATGACAGAGATGATGGAATTGGCATTCAAGGACCTAAGAGAAGTTATTGTTAAGATGCTTAAGGATGTAGAGGAAAAAAATGAAACTAATGAAGAGCTAAAGTAAGATAAAACAGAGAACCAAGTGAAACTTTTAGAACTGAAACATGCACTGTCAGAAAGAAAAAATTCATTGGATAGTTTCACGGGAGATTAGATACTGCAGAAAAGGAATAGTGCACATGAAAACATAGTAATAGAAATGGTCCAAACTGAACTAGAGGGAAAAAGCTGAAAAAAATGAAGGAGCTTCAGTGACTCGTGGGGTAAAATCAAGTGGCTGCGCATAATTAGAGTCATGGAAGAGGGATGGCAGAAAAGAATATTTGAAGAAATAATGACCAAAAAATTTCTAAATTTGATGGCAATTATAAACATGAAGATCCAAAGAGCTCAAGAAACCCCAAGCAGCGTTCAACTAACACCACACACAC